GAAAAGTTTATATATGGATGCAACCTTATAATGTAGAACTATGGATGCACTTCAAAAATCTATCATAAAAACGTAGTTTTAATGTTCAAAAACCCTTTGATTGATCATCTCAGCATCGAGATGTATGACTATGAAAAAAAAAGATTTTAAGTCTCATAAATAGTGCATTTTACAACATATTATCTACAATGTCCATTTTCAAGATTTTCATATGTTTATAGATCTACTTCATTTGAACAATTTTTTAAAATTAAACTTTTATAATTAGATATAAAAATAGATTTTGAGATAATCCTAATACATTTTATATCAAATTATATACCATGATAAAATTTGAAGGTGCACCTTACTTCTACACCTACAGATGCATCTGTATGCAAACTGCAACCATTAGTTATTGATAGCTTCGACATAATTTTTTCTTTTTAGAATTTTAAAATTTCTAATATTATAAATTTATCCGATTTTTTTACTCCAATTTTTTTAGCCTAATCTGATATATTAGCGATATCTTTATATGAAGTATTTTTGCTGATCCGAATTTTTTACTTGATTTTTTCATCCGACTTTTTAAAATAAAAACGATTTATTTTCGATTTTATGGTGAGCCGATTTATTGATAGTCCCCGACTTGCTAACTATGGTTGTCACTAGTTAAGAGATTGTAGGGGAATCCAATACGTGAGCTAGTCAAATGGGTAGATGAGGTTCATGTCCTTAAACACATGTGTTCGAAATTCAAGTATCTACAATACCATGATGCAACCACGGCTTCATGGTGTGCAGGGGTAATATTTCGCACATGTACATGCTCAATCGTCAATAGTTGATTGCTATCTTGATATGGCTATCTATGTACATGCAATGTGATGGTACTATGATGAAATTTTAACCATGTATCTAAAGGCCAACCATCATACACATTGGCTACACAATCCTTCGGCTCATTCATTCGGGCATAACTCCAACCTCATCGAGGGTTGATCGACTGAACTCTCATCGATTTAACTCTATGCCCCAGTACATTGGATTTTTCCAACTTGACTAGCCTAGCACATCGAGTATACTCCGAATATCGGCAAATAACATTTAACTAGTATGGTCCACAATAGGACCGTACTCCCACTACATTTATGTTTCACTACATAAAATGCTTATACAATATCTCATAAAGCCTTTAATGACCACATAAACCTAACAACAACCTTAAAAAATCCAATTAAGGCACACCCCTAAATTTTATCATAAATATAATTTTTATATAAAATATTCTTAGGATGACTTGATAATCTATTTTCATCTCTAATTATAAAATTTTAAACTCTGAAAATGGTTCAAATCAAGTAAATCTATAAACACATGAAAATCTTGAAAATCGACGGTCCAGATAATGTAATAAGATACAATTTCATGGACTCGAAATCTTTTTTTCTTTTCATATTCATGCATCTCAATGTCGAGATGATCGTTTACATGTTTTTCAGCTTCCAAACAACTTTTTATGATGGATTTTTAAGTGCACCTTTCATTCTATATTTTAATATTGCAATCTTATATAAACTTTTTCCTTTTCTGTTTTATCTCTGTCATTGTTTCTTTTTTAATAAGTTATGCTTTATGTTTTAGTAAATATTGATCTCTATCATTGTATTATGATTGTCAACCAACTTTAATTAATAATTTTGCCGATGATGACAGGTAAACTAATACAAGAATTTGTCAAAAAAATGTATCTTCCAAATAATCAGAGATTTGAAAGGTATTTAGATGTTATCCAAATAAAATAAAAAACTCATTTTGAAAGAAATACTTTTCAGAAACATATATTCCGTATATTTTGTCACATAACATTTCAGATATCAAAACAAACCCTAATAGAATTAAATAACCTTTCAAAATGTCTTTACACGCTAGTAGCATTAACGTTCAAGCTGCATTGTCAAGATTGTCTCTCCTAAATATGTCCATATGACATCAACGTTTGTTTCATGCGGGATTGGCCACATTTCTATAATATGCGGCCTAGAGGTATAAAACATCCATCTATTTTTAAATGTTAATTGGTGGTCTATCTAAAAACAACTATAGATAACGGTTTAAAATCCAAATGTTTTTTTAATTTAATTATTATTTTCATTTTTATTTTATTTTTATATTCATGATCTCCATGTTAAAAATTATATATTCTCTAAAACTTAGTATCAAATTATATTTAAAAAATATATTTATTACCAAGCCCGTATTTCTATATGTGTGGATTTGGCCCAATGTTAGCAAAATCGAACCGAAACGGTTAACGAGACATGGGCCCGGAAGTGGTTTAATTGGCATAATCGGTAAACTGGCCGATTCAACTTTTCTAACCGAGCAAGTCTTGGGCGGTAAAAAAGTGTTGAAAATATAAAAAAGATACACAAAGAAAATCTACTAAAATATGAAAAGCATATAAAAAATAATTAAAACAAGACACATTCAAATAAAGTTTAAAATTAATGAAAAAAATTGAATTTTGAATTAAAGTGAGTATTAATGACAAAAACGGTTTTTAATATTTACCATGATGTATAAAATATTAAAAATATATTAAAAATCAAATTTCTTATTTTTTTAAATTTATATATATATATATATATATATTTAAATACCAACCGATCACCAAAACCGCTCAAAACCAGAATCCGTCAGATCTAATCGGGTGATTAGCGATTAGATCCTCTAGTTTTTTCTATCAATGAATAGTTTAGCTGCATGCTAACCGTGTCTATATCATAATTATCATATGGATATGATTTTTTTTTGGGTGATACAGTGGGGAAGAGAGCCTAATATTATCAAGTAGATTAGGAGTTGGTTTTTGAAAGAACTTGGTATATGGTATGATAGCATATGATAACAGCATGACGTGGAGATTATTGTTGTGGTTTGGATGGCGATAAAGGTGTGATCCCACTAAACTTTAGCGTAGTTATTGTATTCACCTAAAGAAATTGGATGGATCTTTCTACTATATGCTCCCGCGGGTGCATAAAATCGTTTGGCCTGCGTTATCAAGTTTGCTTTATGAGCCAGGCTCAATCAAGTCGATTGACCGTTTCGGGCCGAGCCGAGGCTATGCCCCATAACAGTATTCAGTTTGAATAATATAGCAATAATTTTTTTAAAAAGGTATATAAAATTATAAAATAATAATAATAATAATGATACTATGAGAAGTAAAATGGAGCAAAATATGTTCAAAATAATAATAATAATAACAATAATAATAATAAAGTTTTGTAAAATCGATTTTTTAATCAAGGTTGTTATCAAAATAATTTTAAAAAATAAAAAAAAAATATGGTTATGGTCAAAACACTTCCCAAAGCTAAAATATAAAAATAAAAAAACCATATCACAAATATTATTTTAAAAAAATTAAATTAAAATTTTTTAATATACCTGCTGCACAGAATTCGGGTAACTAAGGCTCACCACGTATCCGAAACTTTGACAAGTTCGAACACTGCAATAAACCTCCACCAGACAACAACTAAACGCTTTGACAGCGTCGGAGACCCTTTTCATGTAGTCCCAGACCCATAAAGGTTATGATCATATAGGGCATATCACTGTCCATTAATGGGTTGGACAGCGATAACGAGTGTGGTCCCACTAGGCAAATTCTTTCTCATCTCCCAACAGGATTTTATCACCGTCCAAACCGTTCCATGGGGCTTTCGTTATCGACATGATGTCGTGGTCCACCAAAATCAGACTAATTAAACTAAGGCGATTTTGAGTTTACAAGCAACACAACGTGCTGTGGATTTTTGAACTCGAGCGTTTTTTATAGATAAAAATGATATATTATTTTGAATTATTGTTAGATATTTATGGATGGGGTTTCTATGAGTAAGTCAACACATACTGTCATATGCGGGGCACCACTTAAACCTATCTGAGAAATAGATTTTTGCTATTCATGATCTAGGTTAAGATGATCATAAACATGTAAAAAATAGATCAAATTTTAAATATTTAAAATATGATTTTTTTAAAAAATTTCTACACTATCAAAATTTATCTTTTGCACAAAGTGATCACAATTTATATCGACCATTAGATGTGGAAATTGGGTGGCTTCATTTATTCTATTGGCCAAATTCAATATTCAAAAAACAAAATTTCAAACTTTATGATACACCCAAGCTCTTAGATTTCACATCAAATGGTTTCAACTAATTGGGACCTCGGCTCTATATAAACGTTTCCTTACTTGTTTTATAACAATTTTTTGGAGGACATACCAGGGAGAGTGACGCCCCCATCACTTTTTTAACGTAAGCCAACACGTCACAAGACAGAGAGAGCTCTTTTTTTCTCGGTACTCAGTGAAGATGGGCCTATCCCCATTAAGGAAAAAGTTTCTATAGGGTCTCAATTTTATACTGTACGCTTAGGGTGCACATAAAAATTCTACTATTAAAGGTTGTTTCAATCATCTCGATATTGAAAAAAAAAAAAGAAGGGGGGATTTTTAATCTTAAAAATAATTCATCTTCTAATATATCATATGAACGATCTATTTTCACTATTTTTAAGTGTATTTATAAATCTACTTGATTGTCATCATTTTTAAAAATTTGAACTCCATAACGCGGGGCCACAAGACTTTGTGGCACCAAAACTGAATTTTAGCTATAGTTTTGAAGCCCACTGAACTTCAACGGTAGAAGGTGTCAACATTGAAACCTTAAAATGTAGAATTAAAGGTGTATCTAAATATCCATTAGAAAATATTGGTTTAATGTTGAAAAGCCTTGTGATTAATCATCTTGACATTATTACGTATGAATATGATAAAAAAAAAAACGATTTTGAGTCCCATAAATAATGCATCTTGCAACACATTATCGAGACCGTCCATTTTCAAGATTTTTATATGTTTATAGATCTACTTGATTTTAACGTTATTGAATTTTAAAGTATTATAACTAGCTATGAAAATACATTTTCTGATAGTATGATTTAGTTTGGAATGGTGAATAGGGGTTTCCACCACCACCACCACCGCAGCCCGTTTCCATGTCCAGGTGTAAGACTTTTACCTTTAAAGGTAGACCACAGTGTGGTTCCTATTCACTTGAGACCTTGGAATTGAGCCTTTCCTCTTCTCTAGGGGAGAGGAGATCAGTGGGATAAAGCCAGGCCTTCTTCCTCTAATACACTTACTCTCTCACTCTTGGGAATTGACTCTCTCTCTCTCTCTCTCTCTCTCTCTCTCTCTCTCTAAGATGAAGCAAGAGGTGGTTCTCTACCCTTCTCCAGGCATGGGCCACCTGGTTTCCCTGGTAGAGCTGGGAAAGCTCATCCTCCGCCACCACCCCACCTTCTCTATCACTGTCCTGATCACCAAGCCCCCATTCGACACAGGCGCCACGGCTGAATACGTTGCTCGTGTCGCATCCCAAGTCTCGGCCATCACCTTCCACGAGCTTCCCCCTGCCGACCTCAACGTCCTCAACCCAAACCTTGAACTCCTAATTTTCGAGTGGCTCTCCCTCTGCAAGCCCCATGTCTCCGAAGCACTCCTATCCATTTCCGAAAAGGCTCGAATCAAGGCCTTCATCATGGACTTCTTTTGTTGCACTGCACTGGAAGTGGCGCGGGGAATGGGCATCGCCTCCTACATCTTCTTCACCTCCGGTGCCGGCTTCCTAGATATTTTCTTCTATTTCCCTGAGCTTCACAAAGAAAATCCTGGGAGTTTCACAGACCTCGACCGTGATCTCGTAGTCCCAGGGATCCCACCCTTTCCCCCAAGAATCATGCCAACTGTAATGCAGGACAAGAGCCAGGACGTCTACGACTGGTGCATGTACTATGCCAGCACCATGCCGAAAGCTGATGGCATCCTAGTCAACACGTTCGAGCAGCTCGAGCCCTTGGCGCTCAAGGCCCTGGCAGCCAACGAGTTCCGCCCCGGTGTCCCCATGCCAAAGATTTATTGTGTCGGGCCTCTCATCACTGTTGGTGATGCAGACAGGAGCTCCGAGGTGCTTGCATGGCTGGATACACAACCGGAGGGCAGCGTCGTGTTCCTGTGCTTTGGCAGCGTGGGCAGGCTCTCAGCGACCCAGATAAGAGAGATTGCGATAGGGCTCGAGAGCCAGCGGCAGCGGTTTTTATGGGTGGTACGCAGCCCTCCAACCGAGGACCCGTCCAGGAAGTTCCTGCCACCGGCAGACCCCGACCTCGACGCGCTACTCCCAGAGGGATTCTTGGAGCGTACATCAGGGAGAGGGATGGTGGTGAAGAATTGGGCACCACAGGTGGCCGTGTTGCGCCACTCGGCTGTCGGGGGCTTTGTGACGCACTGCGGGTGGAACTCAATTCTGGAGAGCATCTGTGCGGGAGTGCCCATGGCCGCATGGCCCCTGTATGCAGAGCAGGAATCGAATGCCTTCATGATGGTGGGAGCATTGCAGTTATCAGTGAGACTAGAAAGGGATGACAACGGCTTCGTAAAGGCGGAGGCACTGGCTCGCTGTTTGCGCGAGTTGATGGAGACTGAGTCCGGGAAGAGGCTCAGGGAGAGGACCACGGTGCTCAAGGATGGCGCGGCCAAGGCGCTGAGTGAGGGTGGGACCTCGCTCAAGAGCTTGGAATTACTCGTGAAAGCGTGGGACCAAGCGCCTAACTGACCCTACGGGTTCAGGATTCGAGCTTGGGCTTGACCGGTCACCGCTAAATTTCTGAGCTCGCATAAAAACCCGAAGTAGGGAGTCCCGGCGTCTAAAATTAAGTATATGGCTTTGTGGGCTTTGAGATATCGTTGTACCTTTGTGCTAAGATGATTTCGTTTGTGTAGGAATAAGCTCGGCTTTGAGTGGTTAGCAACTTTTGTTAAGCAATGCTATATCTCGAGTGAGAATGACCAGGTGTCCAGCATGAGACTTTCTTACCGAAAGGCTGGGCTCAAATCTTTGATTTTCTTACCAAAAGGTAGGGCTCAAATCTTTATTGGCGTACCATTTTTAACTTACCCAGAATTACATCTCGATTCAAGGACATCTTCAAATCTATTTTTATTTTTATTTTTTTAGTACGGCACTGCCCTAAAGCTTGGGGCACCACTATGCTAAAAAAAATAACTAATATAAAAAATTTAGAATTTGGACCGAAGAGTCCATCCTTAGACCAAGTGAAAATTACAGGAAAAAAAAAAAAAAAATTTATAATTTCTACCTATAAATAGTGCATTTTTTTTTTTTTAAAGAGTAGTGATACTATGAAAACCTCTCAAACTCATGTGAGTAGGACTCCAAAGAATCACCATTAAATTTTAACACATATCTCTAGAAAAGTTATCAATAAACCCATTCACTCAAGTCCCACACCTATGTGATAACTTTTCTAAAGATCTGTGTCAAAATTTGATGTCCTACTCACATAGATGTGAGAAAATCTCATACGGTCATTATTTTTTTAAAAACAAATTTAAATCCGTACATAAATCACTCAAAATTAAAACCTAAGCAACAAAAAATTTAGAAAAAGTACATCACAATGTATGACGTGCTAGGAATTGGAGCGAAAACATGTGTGGCTTACACGCGGAGGGTTTAAGACGCGACGATGCACAGCAAATTTTAGCCCATTTATTCGGAGGCTTTAGGTGGCGGTGCAAATAAGTAATGATTTTGATTGAACAACTACTCCTATTTTTTGGGAAAATTATAAAAAGCATCCCAATATCCACTATTTATGTAAGATTCAACTTTTTTTGCTCACTTTTTCCCCCACAACAACTTTTATGTAACTTATCCCCATTTAACTTTTTTCTCTCACTTTTTCCCCACAACTACCTTTCTTCGCAGAAAACCCCCAACCCAAAAAGAACAAGAAAAAAGACTAAACTACCATTTTTTTTTCATACGTCCTTCTCTTTCCTATTTCCCATTTTTTAATTTACCCAATGAGCTCCGGCAGTATAATTTCTAGAGATGACGTGCTTCGGCAGTCCCAAAGAACGCTCCGGCAGTATATGAATGCGCTTTAGAGGTACACCTTCCGGAGACATTTTGCTCCGGCAGTCTATAAAGGTCCTCCGGCAATAGAGGCTCTGAAGCCACAGCACTCCGGCAGTATAATAGCCCACTCCGACAATGCATTCAATGCTCCGACAGTATATGAATGCGCTCCAACAGTATGTTCTAGACAATTCGCTCCGACAATTGTATACTGCGCTCAGGCAATATGCTACTTGGGGCCGATAGTCAACGCCAATTGATTTTTTTTGTACGGGAAGGGCATTTTCGTCTAAAAAATAAAACCCTTTTACCTTGGGGGTTTTACGAAGAAAGGTTGTTGTGGGGAAAAAAGTGAGAGAAAAGGTTTGGATGGGGTAAGTTGGATAGATAATGTATATTGGGATTTTTTTTATAATTTTCCCTATTTTATTCGCCTAAAGTGAAATGAAGAGTTTAAAATTCCCCATTACGCCAAAAATTTCAAATCACTACAAGTTATTTTATTTCATGTTGTCAAGATTTCCATAACAAATTATTGGTAAAAAAAAGAAAGATTTCCCATAACAAAATACAAGGACGTTTAGAATTAATATATGTTAGGATATAGATATCTCGGGTTCATATTGATATACATCATTATGGATGCATGGATATATACCTCTTGATAAGATTTGGTATCTAGAAGAGAAGAAGAGACCAAGTCAAAGTTACTTGGTCATCAAGTTATCATACCATATTTATCTCCTGTAATTGTGTGATTGTCCTCTATATATATAGGTACTTATGGATGTAAATATTCATCCAAAATAGTAACGATGTAGCCAGTTGAGCTTTGGATCCGTGTACCTAAAATAGTAAAAATGTAGCTAGTTGGGCTTTGGATCTGTAGACATAAGGCTTCGGCCTGAACCACGTAAATATTGTGTTCTCTCTTCTCTCTCCATTCTCCATGAACCACGCAAATATTATGTTCTCTCTTCTTCTCTCTCCATTCTCCATTCACTGTTTGTGCATCTATGCTCCCATGAATTCTAACAATATCTCTATGTGGGAGTGGTTAACGAATTTCATTTTCATTATTGTTATTTTTTAAAAAAAAATTTAGGCTTATTGTTCACACAATGTGTACTTACCATAGTTAGCAAGTCGCCGATTTAATCATGACTTTTTCAAAAAATCAGTGATCTTTTGAAAAACGATTTAATCAATGATTTTTTAATAGATCGGTAAAAATATGCTATCTTTTTAGGAAGAAGTTTAAAACGCGATTTTTTCAAAATTTGAAAAAATTGTTTCAAAAAAACTTTTCTATTAATATACCCTGATTTTTTTGGAAAGATCAATATCTTATTTCTGTTTTCTAAAATTTCTATTTCTTTTCTCCCGCAACTTTCTCTCGTTCTCTGCTATGGATATGGTGCGTATTTTTTTGGGTAGGTATGGGTAGACAATAGTTAGCAAGTATGGGGTAGACTATTTCTTTCTAGAAAGATGAAAATTGAATTCACCTACCCAATAGTTATCTTGACGAATAGAATAGGTAACTATCTTATGATTTAGAGATATATCACACTAAATATTTGAAATTTATATTTATAAGTAGGTCATCTTTATAGTGAGTATATATA